AGAAAACTAGGGCAGAGCTCCAGAAGTCCTACTCACCAGCTCTGTGACCTTGGGGATGGGAGTAATAAAAGTGTCAACACCATGGAGTCATTATGGGTATAAGTGGAGAAGAGGCATGCCAATTGTTCAGCACAGTGCCTTGCATGTAATACACATTTAATAAACATTAGTCATCCTTCTGAGTATCACCTCAAACCTGTCCTTAAAATAGGAAACACACAACTTCTACTGTCTTGCATCAAGGAAGTGGAAGAATGTAGCTCAAATAGTGGCACTTATAATGTGTGTCATTTCAAACTCACCATACTTGGGAAGGATACAGACAGATGATGAAGATGAATCCTGGCCATTGTCACTGTCCAATAAAGTTGAGCAATCCATTGTGTTGAGGCTGTTTTCCATGCCAGTGTCTACTTTTACCAAAATGTCTAGAGGTAACCGTACTGAAAGAAAAGAACTCTCAACTGAGAATTCTACACCCAGCAAAACTGTTTTTCAGGTACAGAGGGGAAATACACTCTCAGACAAAAAAAAACTAAAAATATTTGTTGCCAGAAGACCTACTCTTTATTTTTTTTTGGCTCTGTTGCTCAGGCTGGAGTGCAACAGCATGATCTCAGTTCACTGCAACCTCCACCCTCTAGGTTCAAGCAATTCTCATGCCTCAGTCTTCTAAGTCACCAGAACTACAGGTGCCCACCACCACACCTAGCTAATTTTTGTAATTTTAGTAGACATAGGGTTTCGACATGTTGGCCAGGCTGGTCTTGAACTTCTGACCTCAAGTGATCCACCTGCCTCCAAAGTGCTAGAGATCTACTCTTAAAGAATGGCTAAAGGAAGATCTTCAAACAAAAAGGTTATGACAATAGAAGGAATAGTGGCAATCAGAAAGGAAGAATAGAAAAATGCATGTGGAGAAATAAGCATGTGGAGAAATGGAACAGCCACACTGCAAAACAATTACTATATTTGTAATTATAATTACTATTATTGTAATTATTTTTATAATTTAAAATATGGTAATTAATTGTAGCTTTTTTTAAAATAAATTGCCAAACTGTCAATCTTATTTCTCTGAGTTAAGCACCTAAGAGTGAAATTGATGGAAATTTCACTCTTAGGCATTCAACCCAGAGAAATAAGAGCTCATGTTGACACAAAAACATGTACATGAGTATCCTCAGCAGCTTTATTTGTGATAGCCAAAAACCTGAAAACTGCCCAAGTGCCCTTCAATAGGTGAATGGTTAAAGAAACTGGTAAATCCATACCACAGAATACTATTCAGCAATAAAAATGAAGAATAGAAAGAGCAGAAAGATGGGCAATACAAAACCATCATGAGTTCTCTAAATCATGGAATGACTGAAACAAAAATGAAAACACCATCTGATACCTATGACAATGATATTTAAAGGTGGGGAGAGCAAAGGAACCTAAGTGGAATTAAAGTTTAAACACTTCATTCTAAGTGGTAAAATGTTAATTCCAAAAGGCAGTGATAAGTCACATATGTATACAGTAACACTCAGAGCAACTACTAGGAAAACTGCACAAAGCAATATACTCAAAAACAAAGAAAACAAGATGGAATACTTAAATTGTTCAAGTAACTCACAGGAAAGCAAGAAAAAGAAAAGGAGAATGAGAAATAGAGAAAAGAAATAGAAAAATAATAAAATAGAAGGCTTAAACCCTGTATCAATAATTACCTTAAATGCAAATGATCTAAGCACACCTATTAAGTAGCAGCAATTGGCAAAGTAGATAAAAAACAAGACCCTCAATTGCCAGGTAGTGTTAATGAAAACAAAACAAAACAAAAAAAAACCAACAAGACCCAACTATATGCTCTTTATAAGAAACTCTACAAATTCAATAACCTAAGTAGGTTAAAAGTAAAAGAATGAAAAATATATACCATGTGATATGGTTTGGATTTGTATCCCTGCCTAAACCTCATGTTAAATTGGAGGAGGGGCCTGCTGGGAGGTAACTGAATAATGTGGGCAGATTTCCCCCTTGCTGTCCTCATGAGACTGCGTGAGTTCTGAGATCTGATGGTTTAAAAGTGTGTGGCACTTCCCCATTTGCGCTCTCTCGCGCTCTCTCTCTCTCTCTCTTTCTCTCCTGCTACCGTGTGAAGAAGGTGCTTGCTTCCCCTTCACCTTCTGCCATGAAGGTAAATTTCCTGAGGTTTCTCAGTCATGCTTCCTGTTAAGGCTGTGGAACTGTGGGTCAATTAAACACCTTTTCTTCATAAATTACCCAGCCTCAGGTACTTCTTTATAGCAGTGTGAAAATGGACTAGTGCACCATGCAAAATTAATCCAAAAAAAGAAAACAGAGTGGCTATATTGATATCAGATCAAAAAAACAAACTTCAGGGCATAGAAAGTTACTGAGACAAATAAGGACACTACATAACAATAAAAGGGTTAACCCCCAGGAAAATATAATGATCTTCAATATGTTCACACCAATCAAAAGTGTCTCAAAATATATAAGGCAAAAACTTGAAAGAGTAGAAAGGAAAAATAGACAAATCCACAATTATATTGAGGACCTCAACACCCACCTCTCAGCAACTGACAGAACCACCAGACAGAGGCCAGGCACAAGGGGCTCATGCCCATAATCCCAGCACTTTGGGAGGCTGAGATGGGTAGATCACCTGAGGTCAGGAGTTGGAGATGAGCCTGGCCAACATGGTGAAATCCCATCTCTACTAAAAATACAAAAATTAGCCAGGCGTGGTGGTGCATGCCTGTAGTCCCAGCTACTCAGGAGGCTGAGGCCCCAGAATCACTTGAATCTAGGAGGCAGAGGTTGCAGTGAGCCAAGATCATGCCAATGCACTCCAGCCTGGGTGAAACAGCGAGATTCTGTCTCAAAAAAAAAAAAAAAAAGAACCACCAGACAGAAAACCAGCAAGGACAAAGAAGACCTGAATAACATACAAACAACCAACAGGATTTTCATTATAGAACATTTCACCTAATAAAAGCATAATACACTTTTTTTTTCAAATGCCTATGGAACATTCACCAAGATAGACCACATCCTGAGCCAGAGGAAAAAACCTCAATAAATCTAAAAGAATTGAAATCATATAGAGTATATTTTCTGACCACAGTGGAACCAAACTAGAAATCAGTAACAGACAAGAGAAAAATCTATAAAGACTTGGAAATTAAACAGCAAACTCCTAAATAATCCATGTGTCAAAGAGAAGTCTCCAAGAAAATTTAAAAATACACAGGGCACGGCTCAGGAGCAAGATGGCCTAATAGAAGCCTTCACTGGTTGTTCTCCACACAAGAGCACCAAATTTAATAACTATCTACAAAAAAAAAGCATCTTAATAAGAACGAAAATCATCTCATGTCTCTGCTCAGCCACAGTGGGATAAGGCACCAAGTGGACTCTTGAGGGCCCCTGATTCCAGGCCTTGGCTCTTAGATGGCATTTCTGGCCCTGCCCTGGGCCAGAGGGGAACCCACTGCCCTGAAGGGTGAGTCCCAGGCCTGGCAGCATTTACCACAAGTTGAGCGAACAGCAGTGGTGGCCTGGCAGTACCCGTCATGGGCCTGTGGCAGTGATGGCCACAAAGAGAGACTTCTCTGCTTGTAGATAGGGGAGGGAAGAGTAGGAAGGACTTTGTCTTGTGGCTTGGGTGCCAGCTCAGCCACAGTAGAACAGAGTACCAGGTAGATTCCTAAGGTCTGTAGCTCCAGGCCTTGGTTTCTGACTGGCCCCTCTGGACTCACCCAGGGATACAGGGAACTCACTGTCCTGAAGGGAAGGACACAAGCCTGACTGGCTTTACCACCTACTGATTGTAGAGACTGAGGGCCTTGAGCAAACATATGCTGTAGCCAGGTAGTGGTTACAGCAAGCCTCAGGCAAGACTCAGGGCTCTACTGGTTTCAGGTCTGACCCAGAACTGTTCCAGCGGTGGTGGCCACAGGGGTGTTTGTGTTACCCTTCCCCCACCTCCAGGCAGCTCAGCATAGAGACTCCTTTGTTTGGGAGAACATAAAGGAAGAGGCTGGGCACAGTGGTTCACTCCCAGCACTTTGGGAGGCTGAGGTGGGCAGATCACCTGAAGTCAGGAGTTCCAGACCAGCCTGGCCAACATGGTGAAGCCCTGTCTCTACTAAAAATACAAAAATTAGCCGGGCATGGTGATGCACACCTGTAATCCCAGCTACCTGGGAGGCTGAGGCAAGAGAATTGCTTGAACCCAGGGAGTGGAGATTGCAGTGAGCTGAGATCGCACCACTGCACTCCAGCCTGGGCAACAGAGTGAGACTCTGTCTCAAAAAAAGAACAAGAGTCTCTGCCTGGTAATCCAGAGAATTCTTCTGGATCTTAACCAAGATCACCAAGGTGGCACCTCTACAAGTCTTCAAGAGCCATTGGGTTACTTGACTTGGGGTGCCCCCTGATGCAGATACAACTTCAGTGACCAAAAACTTAGAAAACAACAACCAAGTCCCTTTGAATACCCGGAAAGCCTTTCCAAGAAGGATGGCACAAGTAAGCCCAGACTGCAAAGACAACAATAAATATCTAACTATTCAATGCCCAGACAGATGAATATCCACAAGCTTCAACTCCATCCAGGAACACATGACCTCACCAAATGAATGAAATAAGGCACCAGGGACCAATCCCAGAGAAACAGAGATATCTCACCTTTTCAACACAGAATTCAAAATAGCTGTTTTGAGGAAACTCAAAGAAATTCAAGATAACACAGAGAAGGAATTCAGAATTCTATCAGATTTTAACAAAGAGACTGAAATTAAAAGTATCAAGCAGAAATTCTGAAGTTGAAAAATGTGGTTGACATCCTGAAGAATGCATCAGGGTCTCTTACTAGCAGAACTGGTCAAGCAGAAGAAAGAATTAGTGAGCTTGAAGACAAGCTATTTGAAAACACAAAGGAGACAAAAGAAAAAAGAATGAAGCATGTCTACAAGATCTAGAAAACAGCCTCAAAAAGGCAAATATAAGAGTTATTGGCCTTAAAGAGGACATAGAGAGAGAGATGGGGTAGAATATTTATTCAAAAAGATTGGCTGGGCCAGGCGTGGTGGCTCATGCCTGTAATCCCAGCACTTTGGGAGGCTGAGGTGGGCAGATCATCTGAGGTCAGGAGTTCGAGGCCACTCTGGCCAACATAGTGAAACCCTGTCTCTACTAAAAATACAGAAATTAGCCGGGCATGGTGGCAGGTGCCTATAGTCCCAGCTACTCAGGAAGCTGAGGCAGGAGAATCGCTTGAACCCGGGAGCAGATACTGCGGTGAGCCAAGATTGTGCCACTGCACTCCAGCCTAGGCAACAGAGTGAGACTCTGTCT